GACCTGTCAGAGCCCTCACCAGGTTTTTTTTTGCTCAAAAGGTTAATTTTATTCCTTTTAATTGCTGTTGCCTTTTTGTTTTCCTTCTATTTTGATTTAAACGCACATTTAAAAGTATGTTTTAGTTAATAAATGTTAAGTATTATCTTCTTTGTTGATTAATCTGCAGATAATTTTGGGATCAACTTTTTTTTTTCTTTAAAATCAGTCAGAAAATGGTGTAAAATGTCAAAACCAGTCGTCTAAAGCTCCAGAAAATCCAGTTTTCTATCAATAATATCAACGTCATTAACAAAGAAAAGGACCAAATGGAACTGGTTCAGCTAATTTTGGCATGTTTGACCAAAAAAACAATTATTTCAATGATTAATTGACTAATAATTGCAGCTCTAATAACAAACTCAGCCTTTATGCACACTTATGACCGTCTTCAGTTCATTAATTCTTCCATGTGCGAGCCGAGTTCCAGCCTGTTATTTGCTGATCTAATGATTTAATGTGTGTTTTAATCCATCGTAGTTTGTTAAAAGAACAACATCAGGAGTTGTGCAGTGATTTTTTTTGCCCAAAGGTGAGTCAGAGTGTCGGAGGAAAGGCTGTCCGTGTGATTATGGTGATGACGCTGACGCTGATCAGAACTGTCAAAAACCGACAAGCTGCATGTCACAGATCTCAGCAGAGCCACAGAGCCGCTGACACTGATAGACAGCGTCGAGTTAGCCCCGAGTTTAAAGGGGACCTAATGAGCGTCCGGAGCCGTGAGGTCCTCCTGGCGCCTCAGCATCGATTACGAGCTGAAAGTTCTGTGTGAGGCCTTTGTTTTCACCAAACAGCCGTCGTGGTGTCCTTGGTCGTGAGCCAGTGAAATATTGATGCACCTCCAGCGTCGGTGCGATCCGATTGGCCGGCGGTCAGGAAGGAGCTTGTGCGCGGAGGTAACCGTACAAGGAGGTGGGCCGTGGCTTTGATGGACGTCACGGTGCAAGTTTGAGCGGCTCGAGGGGAGAGTGCTGGTGGTTTTAAGAGGAAAAAAAAATAAAGAGAGAGAGAGAGAAAAAAAGAGCCCTCTGGCTTTCATCAAGTGTGGCAGGCAAGAATGAAGAGGGAAGGGGAAAAAGGGCGGGTGTGCAGGGGGGCGAGCGCCGCCACTCCAACCACAGGAAAAGCAAAGAGATGGATTGCAGAGGCAGAGGAGTCTGTAAGTAGAGTGAAGCATTTCTCTCCTCCGCCAGACAACTTTGCCGACAGTAGATTGTTCCGGTCGACAAACCGTCATGAATTTGCATGACTGATGAGTTTCAGTAGCGCCGCCGCCGCCGCCGCTCGCCTGTTTGTTCTGTGTTTCTGCTGCACTCGGGCGGTTCGAGGCCGCAGACAGACGCACGCCTGAAAGGTTTTTGCCGTGAACAGGCCTCTCCTGCCTCCCATCCTGGCTGCGTGTGGAGAAACATATGGTGTCTCAGGTAACTCCAGCGCCGTGTGTTTGTGTGTGCATGGGAGTGAAGCGGCGTGGATGGATGGGTCCCACTCCAGATGGGCCCGTTTTTTTTTAACTTGTAATATCAGATTGTTGATTTAAAGAATAAAAGAAAGAGACGTCTCAGCCGACACTTGATCTCCTTTGGTTTCTGCTCGTTTCTGGCCCGTTTAAATCTTATCTCCCAAAGTCAAAATTCAGTCTGGAAAGTTTGTCTTGAGCCCAGGCATGGCTCGAGCACAGCGTCTCATTATTTCCTATAATCCCCCTTCCCTCTCTTGCTAAGTCCCCCTTTTATTTTTCCATTATTTCTTTTTTCCCCTTCTCCCCGTGTGATAATGCGATGCTGCCATGTAGGGCAGCGCTGCTCCTCCTCAGTCGGCCCGTCAGGAATGCTCGTGTCGACTCGTACCGTTATCCAGTCTGATCTTAATCCACTGACGGATTTCGTCCCTCTCGCTGCCGGTCCATCGATTTATCCCGTGATTCATTTCGACTTGCGGAGTCACCAGACTTTCTTAGACGAAATGTAAAAACGCACACGTGGGCAGAAGTCACTGTTTGTGTCCATCAGTCTGTCCGTCCCACGACTCGGGAACATCTTGAGCGAAAATGTGTTTGAACGTGGTGCAAATATTTAAACTAATTTTTGGAAAATGTTGAGCCCAGAACACCTTCAGTGTTCCTTGGCGGTGAGTCTCCAAGTTCTCCTATTTGGTGTTTTGATGATGATGGTGGTGGAGAGCAACACGTAGATCCTAAATCTGTCATTTCTGTTTGTTTGGGTTGTAATCTGGGGACTCTGGAGGTCGAAGCATCTCAACAGATTGCTCCTATCAGGATTCTTGCCTCAAAATGGGGCAAGTGGACTCATGTCAGCAAAACGCCCCTCACAGCGTAAAGGCGCCAAATCCACCAGTTTTCAAAATGAAATACCAATAAGTGTTATTTCTTGTCAATGTTTTTGTTCAGGATGTAGACTGATTGGTTAACGGAGGCTGAAGCAGCAGTTTAAACCTCTCTGATAGGAGCCGAAATATTAAAAACCTGATCACTGTGTAACGACAGTACAGTTGATAATCCGACCCTTAACAATCCTAAACCTGCTATCCGACAGGTTTTTAGGAAAAAACCAACAGAACCCATAAAAACAGCCTTAACATAGCGACAGCCTTGGATTCTGACTCCGACATGACATTTAATGTCACCAATCAGGATGACGGCGTATTATCTGACTGAACAATCCCACAGATTGGCT